ACCATGATACTAGATATGAGCCAGGCTAGTGGCGTGCAAGGCAAGCACTTTATCGACTGTACTATCTCTCCAGCCTGCAGCAATTACCGTATCATTTGTAGAAAATGTGAAAATTACCATTCCAACTGGAGAAAGTTCTAAAAGTAAGCTGATGGCCACACTTTCGAGTCAAATCAATTTAATTTCCGAAGGCAAAATTGATGATTTTCATGTAAGTAAACTGGTAAGTGAGGGATATATACTCATAGAGTCTCAAGGTCAGTGTTTAAGGAATAACAGACTGAATTCCTAATAGTTTCCTTTCCTCTCATTGATAGACATTTGCTGTATTAATAAGGATTTAAGGTATCTGAAACCTATCATATCCCAAGCTTTCTGCTAGATATTAGAAAAGAAGAATAAGGTATATTCCCTAACTTCAAGAATCACATCCCTTGGAAATGTGAAATTTGAAAGCAAATAAACTAGCTTCACCCACTGGGTTTGAACAGAAATATTTCCTATTTGAAATAAATAATATTTTAAACAAAAAGTGTTCTCAGGATAGTAGCACAGTAATACAGAAATCAGAGAAGAGGGGGGAGAACCAATTAGAAAAATAAAACTGTCTAGATAATGTTTAATGTGTCAAATTAAAATTTTTGTAAGGAATAATTACAAGTCTGCTTATTAGAGTAGCACAGGGCTTTAACAGTCATCCCTTGAATATAAATCTCTGAATTCTCTGGTTTGGCATCATAGTGAGTATATTTATTATTCTCTATCACCATATAAAGTCACAAAGCCACAAAGCAAGATGTTAGCTCCAAGTGTTATGTGACATACCATTGATCTTCTAATAATACTGTATGTTGGTAAAAAAGAATTCACTTTCAATATTTTCACATTATTGGTAATATAAATGCAGATTATTTGTGATTACACACACAAATTCAGGAACAGGGTGGAGAGCTTAGAACTTGCACATCCAAAGGTTAATTTGCCAACTGTGTTTTCATTGTAGACTATTGGTAAAATGTAGGTCTAAAACATATAGTATCGCATATCCCAAATCCCAAGTTCTACTCATAGCTGATTTTTAAACATAGTACAGGGAAGGAAAATTTGAAGAAAGAGTGAAGGTGGAAAGCTCTTTTTAAATTAAGACTTTTCAGAGCTGGAGTGATAGTACAGTGGGCAAGGTCCTTGCTTTGCAGGATTGATTCTGGTACCCCTAATGGTACCCTGAGCCCACCAGGAGTGATTCCAGAGTGAAGAGCCAGGAGTAAACCCTGAATACCACTAGGTGTGACATGCCCCCTCCACCCCAATAATTTTCTTGTTAAACATAGACAGTCTGGTCATGGAAAGGGTTTTTCGAGTCCTTGGTTAAAAACAAGTTGAGGTTTTTAAAAGCACAAAGACAGGGAGAATTAACCAAAGGGGAGAAGGGAAGCCCAAGAAGCAATGGATGTGAAATTAGACTGGGGGTTAGATCTTGAGAGGGGGATCTCCTGGGGTGAGTAAGGAAGGTGCTGGAATGGCCTTCACCATGCCAACTCTTCAACCCTTCTTGATGTTTCCATGAAGAGTCTTAGGTGCCCTTTGGACACCAGAGAAATATACTCCATACCTTGGAATCCTTCTTGACAAAGACATCTAAGGAGTTAAACTCTGAAAGAGTGTGAAAAACCATTTGCCAAAAAGAGTACAGTTAGAGTTCAAGAGTCATGACCATTGAGACTAAAGGTAAAGGTAAAGGTAAAGGCCCTCCCGTTGATCATCGATTTGCTCGAGTGAGCCCAGTAATGTCTCCATTGGAGACTTTGTTGTTACTGTGTTTGGCATATCGAATATGTCACGGGGAGCTTGCCAGGCTCTGCCGTGCGGGCGAGATACTCTCGGTAGCTTGCCAGGCTCTCCGAGAGGGGCGGAGGAATCGAACTCGGGTCGGCCATGTTGGCTGCGTGCAAGGCAAATGCCCTACCGCTGTGCTATGGCTCCAGCCCTGACTACTGAGACTACACCTGTTTATAGCAGGGCGACGGTAGTCACCTAGCCCAAGTGTATTGTTAACGTTCATTTTTTTTCACAGCATCTGGACTAGATTGGTATTTTAACAATTGGGTATTTGTAGCAACAGACAAATTTACTACTGAGCCCATTTCCTTCTCGAACAACTCTTATTAGAAAATTACTTCCTATATTGAAGCAAACATCTGTCACCTATAAAGTTCTCCATTATTTCTATTTTAACCCTTTGAAGCTACCTGGTATAATCTAATTCCTCTTCATTTTTCTAGCTCAGGAGAGATGTCAAGGTAACTATTACATCATTCTTTCTCTCTTTTTGCACTCCTTTTCCACCTTTACTTCTGTACTTTGGGGGAGAATTAGTCCTTTGTTCCTTATATAATTATACGCTTTGCATCCCTGGTCACCTGGACACAATCAGTTTATTAATAAGTCTCATAAAATATGATACCCAGGATTGAATGGAACCTTCTATCCAGATGTGGACTGAATAATGCAGCATGCAGGGCTCCCTGGGAGTTAATTATCAACACAGCTTGAATGCATTAGCTCTATGAATAGCCACAATATATTCCTGACTCAAAACTGAAGTTGCATTTCCCTAAGAAAACATTTCTATAGAAACTGTTATGAAATCAGGATTTTGCATCACCTTGCCCAACAACACACACTTACATAAACATACCATCCACATATGTACATGTAACTATACCACTCAAGTAAAAGGGAGGGTTGCATGCTAAGGTTTTTCATAAATCCCTATTAAATTTCATCCTTTAAGTTGTAGTCACATGTTCAGGTACTTCAAAAATTGTAATGATCTCTATATCCTTGTGTTATGTCATTAGAATTCATTGAATGCTCATTGAAAAAGTTCTGCCAGTCAAGAGATTGGATAGACTCTTTGTGTCTCCTACAAAGCTGAGAAGCATGCTCCCTGACCCCTTACTCTTTTCCTTTGTGGGAGAAATGTAAAGGCAAAAGCTACTTTTAAATTGTGAAGCAGGTGGTGCCTTTGGGATGGGCAATGGATGTAGTTCCTTATATTGTAAGAAATCACCAATCTACAAAGAAAGGCCCAGAATGTGAGCAAGAACAGATGATGGGAAAGAAAGTGACTCAGGCCATTCAGATGTCCCTAACGTTAAGAAAACATGGATGTTCCCAATTTTTACCCTTGACTCTCTTTCACATCAATTATACGGTTGTGACTATCAAATTCTAAATTTCTGAGCATGGGGGAGGAAACTCATTTCTGTTCACTTTTGTTTCATTGCGGGGAGGTGGAGGGGTAGTCATTACAGCTAATTCCTGGCTCTGCACTCAGGAATGACTTCTGGTAGTGCTTGGGGGAACATATTGGGAGGGATTGAACCTGGGTAGGATGTATGCAAAGGCAAGCACTGTAGCTGCTATATCTTTCCAGCCAGATTCCAGTTTTGAAACAGCTTTTAAGTGATGTTCTCAGGTTATATTTCCTATAAAGTCCCGCTCTATTGTCCTTGAGGAACAAGAGGAGCCCCAGAAAAGTCTTTGACAAGGCCTGAAGTAAAATACACATCCTCATTTGATTCAGGTATCAGAAATGGCCTGTATTTTTCAGCATAAATTTTGGCATTCACGGAGTTCACAACTATCTCCTGAACATAAACAATCTTACAATGAACAACCCTTTTCCCAGAATAAAGAAAACCAAGCTCAATTTTGCTTTCCTTGAAAGCAAAATTTCAACCTTTAAATTCGTGGCACGAATCACAGAATTTGAAAGTTTCCTACTATGCCTTTTTTTCCCCATTTGGCCTGGAATTGAAAGAGAACTTAGAGAGAGAAAAAACCTTTCAACTGAAACAAGCTAGAACCATAAGGAACAGTCTTGGAAGCCTTTGTTGCATAGGGTTTACTTTAATAAAGAATGGAGACCCTAACTAAAGGCTGAACAAACCCAAAGGGGACATTGGCTTTGTACTTTTCTGAATCTATTCTATGGGGAGTGGCCGCGAATGGAGTCTTAGTTAATTAACTTAGGACAATAATTTCCAGAGGCTGATGTAAGTGGCAGATGACCTGGATGGAAATATGGCAACACTGACACAAAGAAGTTCTTCGTCCTGAGTCTTAACAGTCCCATCAAAGCATACCCAAGTGCTATGAGAAGAGCAGAGCCAGAAGAGGCTTAATTATCCAATAAGCTTCTGAAGTCGGTTGAACCGGGGGAGTCAGGCGTGATCAGAACCTCTCTCAAGCAACCATCTCAGGAGTTCCCGCTAAAAGGCAGCGCGATCACAGGTTGGGGGCCAGCCTTGAATCGTGTTCAGGAAGTCACCCTGTTAGAATTCTTGCTTTCCATCCGCTGCAGCAGAGCTCTGTCACTGGACCCCACACTCCTGGGGGTTTCCCACCTCTTCTTCCAAGTCTGGCTTCAAGCTCTTCTTCTGCTCAATTTCCACCTGCAAAGAATACAACTATCAGGAAGAAGAGAAAAACAGCCCAATCAAGGAATACAACAGATGATACTTCTCTGGGTTCTTTGACAAGCTTTGTAACATCACTCACATTAGCTGTATGGTGCACAGTCGGACTACTGGCCCCGTGTGAATGATTCTCTCTTAGGAGATTAGTAGGTCCTGTCCACTTGGAAAAATTCTCATTCTTTGCCTGGAACAGCAACTCAAAGATGACCTCTTCATGTGAAGCTATTCTTGACTCATTGGAAGAGTTAGGGGACCATCCTATAAATATTTCCACTGGACAGTGACTGCTTGCCTGGATTCACTATACCATAAGCTTTCGGCAGGCCCTCATTCACTATTTCATTAACACAGAGAGAGGGGAGGCAATCCCAAAAGACTACCAGGACAGCAAGGCCCTTGGTAATCAGTTAATTATACCTCACATTGCCAGTACTCTATCACTTTCAAAGTCTCCAAATTGATAAGTACTGGAGCATTTAACAGGCCAACTTGTATCTTCTGTAGTGGCAGTGGATTTTGGCGCTGTAACCAAATTTATCCCTAAGCCTTACTGAAAGGGATGGGGGCTTATGGGTCACATGTCACTGTCGCATCCTTGTGGACTAGTGTTGTGGCAGTTATTGCGAGGTTAATATATCAACCTTGAAATGCCTTTGAAATGCCATCCCTCAACTGAGGTCTTTGAAGTTAGTCAGGGAATTCTTTGAGCCTGGGAACTTCATAGCTAAGGTTATTCCTCTCAGTACCGTTTTGGATATTTATGATGTCTAACTCAGAGGGAAAAGAACTCAAGAGAGAACACTTGAGTAGAATCCTGTTTGAGAAAAGGTGCTGTTTTTTTTTCTGGCCACAAGATGGAGTCTATGTTCCTTCTGGTATTGAATTTTTTTTTTTTTTTCGTTTGTTTGTTTGATCATAAATCTATGGAAGCAATTAGAGGAACACTAAGGATATTATCATGAATGAAAAAATTAAGCCACCTTGCATGAGCTTCTTCCATCACTTCCACTTCCATTTGTGATACCCTTCTACTTTGGGGGGTGGGGAGTGGATGGGTGGAGGGTGTGAAGCTGACTTGGCTTTTTGAGTTTTGCCCCCGTGCAGTCCAGCTCTGCATCAGGTAACCTCACCCTTCTCACACCCCCTTTTCTCAACTCCCATAGCAGAAATACATATTTTAGGTTCACAGCCTCATTACATTCTCTAACACTCCTTTCCACTCCAGTCTGCAACACAGATTATATTATGAACGAATACAAAAGAACAGCTCGGCCCATTGCTTTTTATGGCTCAGGATGAATGAAAGACTTCCTATTTTCTCCTTCACTGGTTTCTGGTTTCTTGCCCGCCCCCCCCCCCCCCCCACCCCGCAACCTCCCAGCCCAACCTCTACCTCCAATCTCCGTCTTGCCTGCTAGAGAGGTTGTACTCTGAGATCAGAGCAGGTTGTGCATAGCTGTGAGCAGTGAACCTCCCCTGCGGCTGTAGGAACAGCCTGACCCCTTGGCAGGCTCTCCTGAAAGGAGCAGGGGAATGCGCAAGCCGACTGGCAAAGATTAACCACCTGCCTCCCCAGGCTACCTTGTAGCTGTAGTGTGCAGAGTAATTGACCCACTTCCTGACGTCAGTCTTGTCTTCCACAGAGATGGATCTCACTGCAGCTTTGGAGGCAGAAGTTGTGGGCATGGTGAACTCAACATTCACGTGACTGGCAAATCTGGAAGGCACTTCCCGGTCAGAGCCCAGTTCAAGGTGGCAGAAGAAGCAGTGTGGGTGGCCAGAAGCTATGAAAGACAAGGAATCCGGTGGTCAGGTGCTGGGGGAGGAAGGAAGGAGAACTTCACAGGAGCTACTTCAGTCATAAAGAAGGGAGGACTTTTTGGGGGGTGGGGGGTTGCCCTTGCAGAAATCACACTGTGGGACCCAGAGCGATAGTACAGTGGGTAGGATATTCACCTTAATGAAGCTGACCCGGATTCAATCCTCAAGCATCCCACACGGTTCCCAGAGTACCACTAGGAATGACTGTTTTCCTTTGGTTTTGTATTTTGGTCCATACCTGGCGGTGCTCAGGACTTATTCCTGGCTCTGTGCACAGGGATCACTCCTGGTAGGACTTTGGAGACCTTATGGGATGTCTGTGACCAAACGCATGTCGGCACGTGCCCTGCCAGCTGTACAATCACTCTGGCCCCAGCAGTGATTCATTCATAAGTGTACAGTCAGGAGTAACTTCTGAGCATTGCCAGGTGTGGCCCCCAAACAAAACAAAAACAAAAGAAATCAGACTCTGAATATAACAGGTTACTGTAATCTGAGTGTAACAGAGTACTGTAGCCTATTTATCTGAGTGCAATCTGAGTGTAACCTAGCAATAAAACGCACCTCCTGAGAAATAGGTGAGAAGCAGATGTTATTCTACCTGTAGGTCAGAGTGACAGGCAAACACAGCAGAAATACTTAGAAATTCCTTCAATTAAGTTTTTTGGGAATAAAAATATATTAATTTAAAATACGAAAGGTTTACATTTCAAATTCATAATTTTGTGAACATGAAATTTTAATGCTTTGTTATTTGCTATCAGCATTCTGGCAATATCATTACACTGTCTTTTGATCCCCTAATGTTTAAGATATCTTCTGCCATTGTCAGATTGTCCTTTCTAATAGCAGGTGACATTATTTATCTCATGCTTAAGAATTTCTTTATGGTTTTAGTTTCACTGTACTTGTGAATTTTTTCTTTTCAACTATTCTTTGTACAAAAAAGAAAAATAAAGAAAAAAAATACTCAGACATAAGAGCTGCAGAGAGGCAGAAAGGAATCTGAAAAGGATCAACGTTAACACCTCAAGAAACACTCATGACAGCTACCGGAAATAAAATCACTGATGGCCTTTGAAAGATGGATTTCATTTTCTTGCCAGCATTCCAGATTTAAAAAAAAAAGTCTTTGGCATGTTTTTGTGGCCTCAATCCGTGGCAGAGTCCTCACTGCAGCATGTTTGGGGGAGTTGGTGGTACTTAAGAAGACACAGGTTAATGTTCTGACTTCAAATTCCTCTAGTTCCGTGGCAGATCTGAACCCAGGACACCATATGCCTGTCATGTTTACTGTCTCCAGGCCCCGATTTCTCACCTGTAAAGTAGGGACAGGCCCGGGAGCAGGGGGGCAAAGTCAGGCAGTGCGTTACTGTTCATCCTAGAAGTCAGAGGCAGTTTCTACTGTACTCTGCAAACTTAAGGTCTGTTTTCCTTTTGAGGACTGTCATTAGATGTCAGAGGGAACAGGGGTGGCGAGCTCAGGTCTGGGGCCATGAGCACTGCCAAGTGCCCACTGTCACTCACCAGAGCCAACAGGAAATGCCCATGGGACTCTGTGGCAGAGCTGTAGTAAGCATTTTCTGGAGATTCTCTGGCTGCTTCTTTCTAATCATCCCTCAAGGGTGGAATGTTACATTCTACACCTGAGGGACAGTGGAGGGCAGTGGGCAGTAGACAGACCCCAAAGTCTTTGTTTGAGTCATAATATTGGAGCCCCAATATCAGGATCAGGTTGGAAGAGAGCCGAGATAAGAGGAAAGAGGCCGGAGGAACCCCACGGGTTAGCCACTACGGATGAGCAGTGGGGAATGAATGGCTCTTCTTTCATTTCGTAACCGAACCAGTTTCTAGTTGTCTGAGTTTCCCCAAATAAACACGTTCCAATTTTTCTTCATTGGTGTGGGCAGGACTTTTTAATCTCAGAGAGTGATGACATACACACCCACTCTCCAAGGAAAACATTACAGCGTGAGGTATTTGTTTTGCTTTGTTCACAAATGCAACATATTAAAAGAAAAACTGCACTGGTATTTGGAAAAGGAGAAACTGGGCATATGATATGTATAATATTTAAAATGACATCTTTCTTTGCAAAATAAAGCTATCCAATATTTAAAAACAGTGTGTGCCAGAGGAATTAGTAATTACAGCTCAGAGGGACTGATTTCGATTTCAGGTCACTGCAATAAAGCAAGTAAGAAGAATTTTTGGTTTCCCAATGTGGAAAAGAGTGATGTTCCTAGTCTGCTATTGTCTAAAACATATGATATGGGGCCAGAGAGAATATAGCAGGTAGGATGCTTGCCTTGCACACAGCTGAGTGGGATTCAATCTGATCCCTGCTACGCCATATGGTCCCCTGAGCTGGCCAGGAGTGATCCCTGAGATAAGAGACAAGAGGAAGCTCTGAGGACCATTTATTTAGGCTCCAAAACCTAAATAAACACATTTTAAAAAATAAGTGAAATGTATGGAAGTGCTATATATAAAAGCACTTTATATCTTAAGAAATATGTTATTGCCTGGGAGGAAAAAAAGGAATTTCTGATTCCTGACAAGAAAAAAGAAGAAGCAAGGAAGAAATAAAATGGAAGGGAAGTGGAGGAAAGGAAAGGGCAGAGGGAGGGAGGGAGGAAGGGAAATACTTGGTTGTTAAAAATGAAGGGAATATATTCAGTTGGAACAATGGTAGCCACCGACTTACTTGATGCAGGTTGCTGCAACCCTTCAATTTGTAAAATGTACAATATAAAACAAGGTATTCTTGTATATAGCTCTCATTTACGGAGCATTTATTACAGGCCAGAGGCTGCACTAAATACTTAAAAGCATTATATAATTTTGTTCTTAATGAGTCACATATTAATAATGCTATTTTATAGATGAGGAAAATTAGATTTCTCTGAGAGGTTTAAGTGCTTATGGTCACACAGTCATTAGATGATAGTTCTAGACACAAAATTCTCATCTGACTCCAAACTACATCCTAAACTCCTCCCAAAGTACAGCTATGGCTACAGAGGACTACAAGGTCCACAGAGGAGTCACATTTAATATGACAGCAACTTGAACAATAGTTTCAGCCAACTACTCTTAGTTAAACATGGTTGGCATCTTGAGAAATCGTTCCTTTCCACAAATCCTCCCTCTTTGAATCAACAAATGACGACTGTGTGGGGCTGGTGGAAGAATAAAGGAGTGCAAATTTGCAGGCTAGTATAGTTTTATTTATGGTAATGAATGATATTTTATTAATGAGTCCAACCTTAGGTTAGAGCACTTCCTTCGATGAAGTGAGAAAGTCTCACCAGGTGTGATCCTAGAGCACAAAGCCTTGAAGTCCTGAGCACACAGGATGTGGTCCCCAAACCAAAACCAACCAAACGAAAAATAAAACCCATGCCCTTCCCTCGACTTTGAAGCAAGGGGCGCCAAGACAGAACCTTGTCCCACTGGCTACAGCCCTGGTGCCTGCCGGGACCCTGCGCTCCAGAGTGACTCACACTGCTCCTTCGACCTTAGCTTTGGCTCCCGGAGCTGCCCCCACTTCCCAATAGCTTCCTTTTCTTCCTGATTTTTCAAGAAGCCAGTGGACGTTTGTGGTTTATAACCAACACCCCTGATGCAGTACCTGAAATGTTTGAGAGAAGAAAGTGGGAAAACAAATGAAATGCACTTGAAGACACAAATCTTGCTCTGGGAGAGGGTATTTTTTCCAAGTTTGTGTCTATTTGGTGTCAATCTCCTAAGCAGCAATGGCGGACTCAGAAAAAAAAAAAAAAAGATCCTAGGCTGTGACTCTTGTGACCTCAGACAAGTCACGTCACC